TTGAAAAAAAGGACGTGGGTTCTGAAAAACGCGATAATTACAGGCATACCACAAGTTAAAGACTCCGAACGACAATGACTTAAAAGACAAACAAATTAAAACGACAACTATTTGAGGCAGCGACTTGGGAAAATAGGAACAAACAATTGAGAAAACGACAATGACCTGAAAAGTAACAAATGAAGAAAAGAAAGAAAAGGCAAATGACTTGAAATACGGCAACAATTCCTAAAATGATGACAAATACGTCTGATAGGAAACAGGGTTGAAAAATGACAACAGTTTAAGATGCCAAGAAATTGAAAACGTCAAAGACTTAGGCCTCGTTCAGTTTGTGGATTTAAGTTGAGATGTGATTTTATGTGAGAGCTTTTCGTAGTAGAAAAAGCTAGATGTGACTTTTTATGAGAGTTTTAACTGTAACAGAATTAAAATTAAAAACTCGAATCGATAAAATGAACGAGGCCTTAAAACGCTCGAGAACGACTCGAAAATGTCATCGGTTCTGAAAAATGATAGAGACTAGAAACGATAACAATTCATGAAACAATAGCGGGCAAACGACAAAGGCCTCACAACGACAATGAATTGAAAACGACAACTATATGAGAATCGAAAATGACAAAAAACGACAAGGATTTTCATTTACTATTCTTAACAAAAACATTTGAATGATTTGGATGGTTTAAACGGCAAACGGAAATGCCGCAAATATAAATGGTCCTTTAGAGGAAAAATTTGTCCCAATTAATTGATGTGCAAGCCAAAACTGGTGAACGAATTCGACTAGTCCATTTATTGTCTGTCTGCCTAACTGCCACTAATTTGTGATATAAAAAAAAAAAACACTAGACATTGAATTGTTGAATATCTGTCACAGACAAGAGTTGATTCCGGCCTTATTTGTTTCCTTAAATAAGTTTTGTGCTTGTCCTTCTAAATATGTATAGTTGTGTTAGATATGGTGTAAATATGATAGCCTATTCAAGCACTTTTTTTTTTTTTTTTCCTTTTATACCTCTGATCCTTGAGTCAATACAATCCGAATTTTATTTCTTGCTTTAAATTTGACTTTTATGAGATAAGGACAAAAGAAAAAACTAGTGCCCAGTTGGTAAAGGACCGAAAAAGCTAGTTTTTACTATCTAAATCGTATATATAATCAACATGATAACAAAAAATTCACCACGTAATTCAATACCAAAGCCGTACTCTTGCTCTAATTACAGTTAAGAAACAAACAAGGATAAGTTTCAATGTCTATCAATACAATTTTTCAAGGAAAAACAAATTAATACAAAGATGAACTCCCGATTTCCGATTATGGTTCAATATGAAAATAAAAAGCTGAAAACACAAATATCATATCATACCTTAAAACGCAGCTCAGCTTCTTTGCTTTGACTACAACAACTTGCCCTTAAGTTTCGTCTTGGACATCAGAAATGAACTTTCTTAAACATAAAACATTCACTCTGCCGTGTCACATGTAAAATAATAAAAAGATCCCTTTAAAATAGCAACATAAAACGTAAAGGGCACAAGTATCACAAGCAATTACATTAGGTGTATTGTTGGCATCAACATCCCGTTCATATAATAACCAGACATCATTGTTCCTTTTTTTGTCCTCTTTCTCTCTCATTTTCCCAATTTCTTTTTTATTATTTTCTTGCGTTTTAAGTTTCTTTTTTGTCCTTTCTCTTATTTTTTCCTATATTTTTCCTCCTTTTTTTGTGGTCCTCACTTTAATAAGCAAGATCAATATCATTATTCATTCGTAATTTACCGGTAGATCAAAATGCTCGCCAAATTAGCCTACAAGACAAATTCCCTGTTATTATCTCAATACATGGGATTAAGTGTTTTATATTCGCATACTAAATTAATAGCACAAATTTTGACAAAACCAAGGCATAATTATCTAAAATATTTAACTAACAGGATATACTACGTAAGTCTAGATCATAAGTGAGAAACTAACATATATTTAATTAGACGTAATTTCTACAAACCTGGGAGTGAGAACTTACTCTTTTAACATCCTTCTTTATCCTCAAATAAATAATTGTCTTTAAGGCCATCTTGCTCCATTATTAAAAGGGCATCCAACATGAGGGACATATAAGCTACGGACCTCATTGAAAATAAGCTTAACTAAGACGGTTATCGTAATGCCCGGAAAGCCATGCACACGTCACAACAAAACTTATCAATTGGTTAGTAGATAATAAAAGTCAATCTTATGTTTATTTATTTATTTTTTTAATTTTAAAATGATAGTAAAATTAGTGGGCCCTACTTAAATTTGAAATTGAGAAATAAAATTGATAATTCCATATCCCCTCCACATTAAGACTCCATTCATGATATTAACATTAAATTATTATCTTAACCCTAATTTACCTATAAATATAAAACTAAAAATAAAATTCAAAAAAAAATAATAATTACAACCTATGTTTATTATTTTATTTTATCTAATATCATAATATTAGCCTAATTATTGTCAACGTTTATAAAATAAATAAGTACTTATTATGTTTATTAAAATCAATAATATATTTTAATTTTTAACACGTCCTTTAATAATTATTTTTATTTATTTTATTCAGATTTTGACAATTTATTTTCTTATTTTAAATAATTATGCAATTGATATTTATTATTTTATTATCCTTTTATTATAATAAATATTTTAATTTTGATTAATTTTAATATAATAAGTTCTCAACTTATTTTTAAAATTAAAACACAAAATTTACTTATGGGCTATATTAGTAATTTTACATCAATTCATTACAATTCTGGATGTAATTAAACACATGAGAATCCTGTCACTAAGTAAATAACTTATTCTGACTCTTATTTCTCATTTTAGATCATATCAACTCCAATTCTACTCACTCCAATTCATGACAATTCCAATTACGTGCAGGCAAACATGCCAATAGTATATTGACTGTTAATTTGGGTACTCTAAAATGTTATATTCTCAATTGGTCATCAATTGGTCATTCTAAAATGTTATATTCTCAATTTCTACACTCTCTAAAGTCACCATAATTTACATATGATCAATCCTTCCTAGGGTTAGTAATAGTTTGCTTCCCTTCAATGGATATTCCCTTCAATAGTTATCCAAATGTTTCTTTCAACAATTATACAATAAACATAATCAGAATATAAAAAGGTCAATCATTTCTAGAACATTTATATATACTTCGGTTCCAACAAAACAATGTCTTCAAATTGAATAAGTTCTTCATTTTTCTATAATAGAAACAGTCAAATCAATTATACTAGCGGATGATCTTTAATGCATATACTATCAATAACCCAAATAAAATTCATAGTGTTATTATATCGGTTAGCAATTTCAATGTTACTTCTTAAGAAGGAATGAAAAGAAAAGCTCAAATTCGGAGTTACTTATACAAGTTTTAGATTTATTTCATCTATCTAACAATACATAAAAAAACTAAAAACTCTTTCAATAATACTTTTTCTTTAGGCTGTCATGTGGCGGCCTCTCTTTCTCCTCTTTTTTTTTTTTTTTTTTTCACTTCTTTACTTTCTTATCTTCTTTTTATTTTTGTGTTTTGTGAATTTTTTTATAGTTAAAATTTTTACGTGAAATTTTTAAAAATAAATTTTGCTCACATTACTCTTATAAAAGTAATTTATTTTACATATATTTCTATTTAATTTTATTTTTATCAATATTAAAGTAATCTTTTTTCCGTGTACCTCCTGTTATATCCAAAATTATTTACACATATTTGTTCTAAAAGTCCTCCCATAGAGCACTTTCCAGACTGCCATGTGGTAGCCTCTCCCACCCCTTCCCTCTTTTTTTTTTATACTTTTTTCTATTTTATTATTTTTTAATTTTTTAAATGTTTTGTTCTTTTATTTTAAAATATTTTCTTTCTTACTCTAATTAATGGACTTAACTTTTAAGTAGACTACCTATTTTAACGTAGTATCAAATTTACAAAGTTATTTTCTACGTAATAAATTAATTAAAAGTTAAAACTCAACAAAACATGAAATAAATTTAAAACATTGCATTAATTCGAAAAGCAACTTTTATCTGGAGTTTTAAATTCACATCATACTTAAATAGAATAGTTAAAACTTAATAAAACGTGATGTAAATCTAAACTATAATAATTATAATATTATTATGAATAGTAACTGTCGTCAAAGTTATTATGTAAGTCAATCAAAATTATTATTTATATTAAAATTTTACTTTATAAATAGTAACCGTAAATAATAAATACTATACAAATAATTTTTCTAAATAGTGCTGATAATAAAACTCTCTCTAATTTCTCTCTAATTTTTTTTTTCTTAATTTTATATTTTCTCAGTTTTCATAACAAATATAAAATCGAAAACATATAAAAGATAGCATCTCACCTAATTTTCTCGTTCTAAAAGCAGGCTCAATGGCAAGGCCCAAGTGACTTCTAACATCGTGAATTTTCGGCCCAATTTACTAGACTAAACGAAGGAAGTATTTATATAACCATTTTTGCCCGTTATTTTTGCATATATGTCTTTAATTTAATAATATTATGAATCTGTTCATTTATAATTAATGATATAATATAATTCTTAATAAGTAGTGCTAAAGACACTAATTTAAATCTTAATTTTTATGTATCAACTAATTTCACATATGAGTTGTTATTTTTTATTAGTAAATATAATATCTTATTATTAATTGACGTGACAATATTTTAAACACTTATTAATAAAAAAATAACAACTCACTTATCACATCAATTATATATAAAAATTGATATTTGAATTGGTGTTGAAACATTATTCAATTCTTAATATATCCTTTCTTTAATTAGGTAGTTGTGAATTTATATAATGAATTTTAAAAGATAATTAATTAAGAATAAAAATACGGACTTATATACAAATATAATAATTTGTGTACATTCTATTTTTCCATTTATTGTGAAATACTAAGACACATGTAATTAAGGCTAACAAAGAGCCAAAACCATACTATTTGTAAAACCCTAAAGCCATTGGAGATCCCTGCTTACAGCCGAATTTCAAGAGGAGCAGTGGACGCCATAAACAATGGGTACGTTTCTTCATCGATTTACATCCTCTATGCACACTCAATTTCCATTTCCTTTCGTTTTCTTTTTCTTTATCAACATTTTCTTTGTCAATTATCTACACGATTACAAGATCTTCTCCAATTTTTTGTAGTTTTTTCTCACTTGCCGCTCAAAGTTCGTATCTTTTTCATTGTTCTTAAAGTATTTTTCATATTTGAATTGTGTTATAAAATCGAAGGTCCTGTGTTTGTGATAATGGTGTTGAAAATTAGTGTGATTTTGGGGCTTGAATATAGGGGCGTACCAGTACGTGTCGGAGATATGGAGGAAGAAGCAGTCGGATCTGATGAGGTTTGTGCAGAGAGTGAGGTGCTGGGAGTACCGCCAACACCCTTCCATCGTGCGTGTCACGCGCCCCACGCGCCCTGATAAGGCTCGCCGCTTGGGCTACAAGGCCAAGCAGGTGTGTGTGTGTGTGTGTGTGTATCAGACTTTTTAGGATTGGTATTTTGAGGGTTTAATATATTTGAAAATTGACGCGTGTTTGTGTTTTAGATTGTTACGGTCTATTGTTGTTTTTGTGCAATGTTGTTTCTAGCATTTGTTTGTCTGGAAAACAAGATGGTATATCTAGTTAGATTTTGCTTCATTCTCTTTCTGGTTCCTTAGAATGTGAGGAGAATTGAAAAATATGAACGGCAATCAATAGAGAATTGGTTTTAGACAAATGGTTTTGATTGTCTGAAGATTTTGAGAGGAAATTTTGCTTGTTTTGCGTCTTTTTTGTGCGCAGATGGAAAATTGTTTTTCGATATATACTGTTGCACCCTGATATAGAATTGTGTTTAAAAAGTGTTCTGCTAAGAAATTTGAAAGCATCTATTCTATATTTCAATGTTGGTATAGGTGTTTTAGGCATTTGAATTCTATCCGAAGCACTATATGTAGAATTTGTATTTGAGTTTTTCCTTGACCCAAGCTTTCGCTGCTATTGCTTAATATATGATGGTGACTAAAGTTATTTAACAGGGGTATGTGATCTATCGTGTACGTGTTAGACGTGGTGGTCGCAAGAGGCCGGTTCCAAAGGGTATTGTTTATGGCAAGCCCACAAACCAGGGTGTAACACAGCTCAAATTCCAACGCAGTAAGCGCTCAGTTGCAGAGGAACGAGCTGGACGTAAGCTGGGTGGTCTTAAGGTTCTCAATTCTTACTGGATCAACGAGGTTCGTACAAGAAACTCACTCGGTTTGTTCAAACTGTGACACGCAATTATATTAGCATATTTTCTGTATTCATGACATGTGAATGAACCGAACCATCACACACATCACAATTCACATTGTTTATCAGAATGTGGAATTGGAAACATCTCATTGAACATGGGGATTTTTGTATGAAATTCTTGTGTTTTTGGTTGTCAAGTTTACCTAGGACGATATTTCTATTTTAATCAAGGATAATTTCACTTCATTTTCTGATGCTCTATACTACTTTCTTCCAGGATTCTACATACAAATACTTTGAGATAATCTTGGTTGATCCTGCTCACAATGCAATCCGTAATGACCCGAGGATCAATTGGATCTGCAAACCTGTTCACAAACACAGGGAGCTTCGTGGACTTACTTCTGCTGGAAAGAAATACAGAGGTCTCCGCGGGAAGGGGCACACGCACCACAAGGCCCGACCTTCCAGGAGAGCAACTTGGAAGAGGAACAATACTCTGTCTCTTCGACGCTACCGTTGATTCTCATGACATTGGTGGTGTCTGTATCGGGGTCTTTGTTTTACTTTCTGCTTTTTAGGATTTAAGCTGGAATAGATTATGAAGTGTTGTTTCTATTGGTTGTTAAAACGTGGTTAATTTGGTTGTCCTCAAGCTGTGAAATTTTGTTCTTAATAAAATAGTTTACATTTTTCATCATAAATCTTATTTATGTTGATGACAATTACAAGAGTATTCCTTTTTTTTTTTTTGTTTTTTTTTTTTTGTTTTTTTTTTTGGTTGAAGGTGAGTATTCCTTGTATTTTAGTTAAAGGGGGTTCCTATTCTTTGTCCAGGGAAAGTGTAGTGCTAGGGAGTAGGGATCTTAACTTTCCTCCTAATTAACACCAACTTGGCCTGAAAAAGTTGTTAGCACCAACTCGGTCTCAAAAAGTTGAGATCTCTAGTGTTACTTTCGGAACAGAGAAAAAACCATAGCTCAACTTTATAAATCACATAGAAATTCTCTTCTTGATGTGGACTCGTTGGCTAATAGAATAATTTTTCTTTGAAATGCCCACTTATTCCTTAATTTTTGTTTTAAAACTAAAAAAAAAAAATACATAATAAAATCACAGATAATTTTATTTGTGCTCTCTAAACTATAATACTGTTATCACTTTGCCCTTTGAACTTTAAAAATTAATCCGCCTCCTGAATTATGAAGCGTTATTGATTTTGCCATTTCCGTCTAGTTAATTGACGGAATAATTGACATGACAACATTTAGAAGGGTGGTTTAATTATATACCACAATATGTACCATGTCAGTAGCTTCTTCCAAATTGGTCTGGCTAAGGTTGGTTAGGGTAAAAAAAAAATAAAAATAAAAATTTGGAAGACCCATGGCAAGTAGTAGCCAATGGTATTCAAGATCAAACAATGAACATGAGTTAAGCTCTGAATTTAGTAGAGGAGAGATTGAATTAAAAAGGCTTATGCTTTGTAAATGTAAGCTTGAACCAGTGATTTGAATTGCGAGAAGTTGTGAGAACCAGTAGAAGGTTCTACAGGTGTGCAAAATATGAGGTTAGAGATTTGTTGAGTAAAAATATTTATTAATATTAAAATAATATTTCACACAACATAATTTCACATATACCAGGATTTAATTAATATAAGAGTTTATTATTTTTAGTTCGATCCATTCAAGATTATAAGAATAACCTTTTAATTATAATTCCTTGGTACAAGGGAAGACCTTTTGATTCTAGTTAAAACAGTAAATTCTATTTTCTGTGAATTTGGGAAATTTGGGTTGATTTAAAATTACGGCTGAACTCGATGAATTTAGCCGAGTTGCCTACATACCCCATTAGGGGATCAAGCCACTTGTAGTTCGAATTTTGGGTTTAAAAATTTTGGATGATTCCTCGGTGTATGACCTTATGAGGAATTTACATATTTTGAAGTTTGATTTAGTTTTATTTTGATTTTGTCCTTTATGAGGATTTTTAGGATTGAATTTAGCCTTAAAACTGCACCTAAATTTTAGGTTGCCTACGTATCCGATAGAGAATCAAGTCAATCGTAGTTCTTAATTTTGAATTTGAATTTTGAAGAATTCCCCGATATATGACCATAGGAGGAGTTCAAAGATGTTTTTAAAATTTGATTTGGAATTTTACTTTAGAATTTAGATTTGAAAGTTGTATTTAGATAATTCCTCGGTATATGACCTTATGAGGAATTAAAAGGTGTTTTAAAATTTGATTTGGAATTTTACAATTTGGATTTGAAAGTTGTATTTGGATAATTCCCCGGTATATGACCTTATGAGGAATTAAAAAGTGTTTCAAAATTTGATTTGGAATTTTATAATTTGGATTTAAAAGTTGTATTTGGATAATTCCCCGGTATGACTTTATGAGGAATTAAAAGGATCCTTTTTGAATTTTGTGTTGAGATTTTTTTTGATTTAAAAATTATATTTAATCACCATATGATTTTATGAGACAATAGACTCATCTTTTTGAACTAAGGGACCATAAAAGAGCTCAATTTGTGCACTTTAAATTTTTGGATATTTAATATTCCGAATTTTTTTGAAATTTATCCTTTATCCCTTATTCTTTTTTTTTATTTTAAATTTTATCATATCTAAACTAATTGATCTGATTGTATGATGTATATCCCTTCGTTTTTGTGCTAACGATTTGATTTTAAAAGAAACTTAGGCCTCGTTCATTTCACCGATTCGAGTTTTCAGTTTTAGGTTTTTACAGTAAAAAACTCTCTGAAAATATCACATCTAACTTTTTCTGCTATAGTAAAAAGTTCTCATATAATATCACATCTCAACTCAAATTAAAAACTCGAATTTGTAAAGTGAACGAGGCCTAAGGCTTGCAAACGCATAGCACGTGGACTTCTTCCTACAAATGCTTTCTTCCTGCAAGCGTCAGCACACGTGAAGTCTTGGATATATATATATATATATATATATATATATATATATATATATTTGTGAAGGTATTGAGAAAGAGATTCAACGGTTGCTTGCTCTCATTTTTTTTTTATTTTTCTTTTCTTGACGGGTATAGTGCGATTTATATGAATATTTCATATAGATTATATGAACATAATTTCTCATATGGCAATATTTAAAGTGTAATTCATATGAATTTTTCACTCGAATTACACTCAAAACAATCATAACAAAGTTTTTGGGAAATTTTTAATCCTTGATTTTTGAAATCACATTTAACTTATATAGATCTCTAAAAAGAAATCCAAGTCTTAGTGATAATTATGGGATTGTGATAAGAATAAGAAAACACACACCATGAATGCATTAAGAATTTATTAAGGGTATTATAAATCTCACGTCATAAGGCGTATATAAGATTTATCTTCTTTGATAGTGTCAATGAATAAATCACAATCTCATACTTTAAAGTGTATATAAGACTTAATTTAAATGTGTTGTATCCATTTAATAACACAAAAAACTAAAATTGTTAGTGAAACAAAGATCAAAAGATCAAAATATATATTACATTATTATTTTAAAATATCATGAATGTATATATTTTTCACTTCTCTGCACTTTCCTGCACACACATGCACCTTTTGTTTTTTTTTTCTTTCTCTTCTCGCGTTCTCCCACACACGGCACAGTCTCTTTTTTTTGTTTCCTTCTCACGCCTCCTCACGCACGTCTGCACCTTTATATATATATATATATATACGCACCAAGTTTTTTTTTTCTGTTTGTTTTTTTTTCTTGCTTTCTCACGTCTCTTCTGCACACACGCACAAGTTTTTTTTTTTTTTTTTTTTTTCAAAAAAGCTTTTTCTCCTGTTTCTTCCTTTATATAAAAGAATTTCCCAGCAATTTTTTATCACTACTCACGTTTTGCACACACCACATTTTGCATCATCTTTTTTTTATCGCTACTCCACATTTTGCACACATCACGTTCTGCACCATCTCTCCATATTTTAAAATGTACACACACCACTAGGGGTGTCAATTCGTGTCGCGTGCTGTGTTCGTATCGTGTTTGTGCCGTGTCAGTTTTTTTTTTCACGTGACCCAGACACGACCTGTGACACGAAAATAATTAAGAACCGTAACACGAACACGACACGGTCAGGTTGCGGGTCGACACGACACGAACCGAAAGTGACACGCGACACGAATTGACCCGCGAATTCGAGACACGACACGAATCTGGTGAACCGAAATTGACACGAAATTGTAGATTTCAGTCCATTTTGTAAAGATCTTAACAAAGTACCAAAATCCAAGCATAGATAATAAAATTCCAATAACAACATTACATGAAATTCATGATGCAACCACATTGATGCAAAAGAGAACCACATTGATGCAAAAGAAGTCCATGATGCAAAAGAAAACATCACATGAAATGAAACCTGCATAACAAAGTCCTAAAACCACATAGTTCAAATGAAGCAAAAAAAAAAAAAAAAACATTACACAACCATAATAAAAATCAAATTCAAGCGCATCCGGAGTTAGAAGCTTGGTCGACAGTTTTTTCAGAATGTATGTTAAGATCAACGACATTGTTGATGAGCTCATCCATATCTTCATGAAATACTTTGAATCCATCTAGGAAAAAAAGTTACTGATTAGCATTTGTGAGACTGAGAGTAACAATATTTAAGAGAACAATGAAAAACTTGAAGAATATACCTTCATTTCCATACAACCAATCCCTTGTACATACAATTGCTTCAACAGTCTCAT